GGCTTTGGGCGAATGGAGGGTGGACGTCCAGGCTGACGGGCGACGTGCTAGGATGGTGCTGAGTCTGACGGGACTCTGGGCCGTGACCGACATTTTCCTGGCGGCTGGGGAGGAGGGGAGTACCCCACAGCTGCAAGCCTGTGCCCGCCTGAGAGTGCTTCACATACGAAGCAGGGAGGCAGGACATCTGGAGTGACCAGAGCTGATCCTAAACTGCCTTTCAGGGTCCGGTGTGAAGGAACAGTCATGTGCAAATTACTTAGAGAGGAGAGACAGAGTGGGGAAGGGGGGGGGGAGGACTAGGGATAGAGAAGAGGAGACAGGGCTGGGGGCGGGGGAGAGGGAAGGAGGGGAGTGGGGAGACCCCCACACCCATCTCACAGAGAAAACACAAAGTCCGTCTGGGGTCAAACAATGGTGTAAACTACCAGTTCACGTGGATCCCGTCTGCACAGACATGGCGATGGCCTATTTTCTCGATTTTCAACCAACGTCTGCCCTTGCTCAACAAAATGGACCGCTTTGGAGTTAAGGGCAACCCACTGACTCCTGTCTTTTCATGGGGTTATTTGGTGGTCCCGAGGTGAGTTTTAGTACCATCACACCAGGGGTGCGGTAGATCACTCAGAGGAGACAACAGCTGGTCTGCAGCGAGAGGTAAGCCCCCACCCTCACGCCTCCACTGCCAGTTTTCAGAGGAATCTACGCTGCCGTGGTCTGGACTGACCAACGCTCTGGTATATTTCACTAAAACCAAGTGTTTGGGGTGCCCCCTTTTAAAAATCTAAGTATCGTTTCTAGTCACCTGCTTTTTGCACTCATTGCTTTTGGGGACCGTTTGTCGTCAGCCAGGCTAGGGCTCCCGGGGCTGCATGGTGGCCATGTGGTGTCACATGAAAGGCCACCCCAAGCACGGAGGTCACCAGTCCGGGTGGTGGCCACACTCAGGGAGCTCTCCCTTTTGGGTTAGTCGAATTTCAGCTGGCCAGTCCACTCATGTTGTGCTTTAACTCTGTTTTCTGCTGCAAATCTTGTGTCCGGCTCCTGCAGCCCAGCGTGGCTGCGTTCGTGGCACTTGGTTCTGTCTCACACGAGGCATCCATCAGTTGACTGAATGAGGAACATGGAACAGTGATTCACAGCCAGGTGGCCAGTGGAGGAAGCTCGCCTCCCTGTAGTGGCTCAGTTGGAAACCCGACAGCAGCAGGAGAAACAGGCTGGACCGCAAGAGGGTGGCGGCTTCATTGCGAAGTCGAGAAAACTGGGGTGTGTTGCTAGAAAGTTCATACCGTTTTGCAGTATTCTCAGACTCCTGAATTTCGAGACTCTCCAGCTTTCAAGATGCCTTTGGACACACAGAGCAATATGTCCCCCCACCGGCTGCCTGCCCCAGGTGGCTCTGGGGCTCTGGGAGGTGACACGCCTGTGCAGTCCAGGTGGGTGGCTTATCTCCCAGTGGAAAACTGTGTGACCTGGTGGCTTCGAAGACACGTCTGGGCACCTGAGGAGCAGGCTAACTTCCGGCCAGTCTGACTTCTTTTCCAAGCCTCTTCCATGCTCACTATTGATCTGTCTTCTGTTTTGTTGCTGTTTTGTCTTGAGCTCACGGCAGAACTGTTGAAACAAGACACTCCCCCCTCACTGTCCTAGCTACCAGCCCCGTCCCAGATTCTACTTGCCTCACGCAGATGCAGATGGCCCAGAGGGAGACCGTGAAGCACTTCTTCAGGAAAGGCCCGTTTTTCTTCTGTCGCTGGTGCATTTCGCCACCACACTTGTTAAAGCAGCGACACACACTGAAGCAGAAGCCCACCGAAGGCATCAGAATCACAAAGAGCAGGCCCAGGGCGACGCAAAAAATAACCCCGACCTCATAGATGACGATCTGCAAGGCAAACAAAGGGTCAGCAGGGTGGTAACGCAAAGCAGCAAGGGGGACACCCTAGAGGGCCCAGGTCACGCTTTTCAGCCTATTTGCATCACGAGGTGAATCTGTGTGTGTGTGTGTGAGGCTCTTTCACGAGACCTGGGAAGCAGGGACTGGCGTTATCAGAATATGGGACACCAGGCGGCTACTGTCTTCTTCTACCTGCCAGGAAAATGGCCAAATACAGAGTCGGGTCCTTCCCGGTGGTGCCATGGGTTAGGGCACAGCACTGCCAGCCAGCCACAGCCACTCCAGTGCAAGTTTGACCCCCACCCCGGAGGTAACACACAGAGCACGGCAGACCTCTCCTGACTCTCCTGCTGCTCCCCTCAGCAGTGTACTTGTCAACCTGCCTGTTCTGCTCTATATTCTGTCTCTGGTGAATCCTCTCACCCCTGCACCTCTGGCCTGTACCCCAGTTCTGTATGCATCAATAAATAAATCTTTAAAAAAAAAAATGCAGAGTCAAGTTTACAGAGCTGTGTTGCTTTTCATGCCTGAACTTGACTAAAGCTGAAAGAGAAGACTAGAGAAGATGGCAGACACAAAACTGGAACAAATTAGCATCAAAGTGGGGATGACAGTGACGAATGGAACATTCTGGCAAAAGCAACTCTAGGCAAAGCGACATGAAAGAGCAGTAGGCAAAACTTTACCTGCACAATCAAGTATACACTTTCTGGCTGTTGTAGCCAAAGCCATTGGGGGGTTTATAGGAGGAAGCCACAGCATGCAACAAGAAAACAGAAAAAGTTTGATTAGCCACAACCGAGAACATGAATTTTGCGCACAAGATAATCGCATTTAGAGAAGGGTGAACACAGAGAGGAGTTTAAATTGAATGTGAAGCTGAAGAGCAGTGCATAGAGGTACAGTCAAGAACTGCATCTTTGGAGGGCACATTGGACTTCTTGAAGGGCCTTGAATCAGCAAAGGGATCAGTTGGGAACAGAGAATTAAAGTTGAGACGACGTCACACGCACCTGCCCGATCTTTATAAAACAGAATCTCAGGGCGACCTGGAGCCCTTTCTACAGTGAAAATCCAGTGTCATCTCCTGTTCAACAGCACCCCAAGGACTCCCACCATTTTGTAGTCAATCTTCTTCATGTGGTCTTCTGATTTACCCTGGCTTCATGTGCCCATTCTTCTAAACTACTCTAGTCTCCAAAGGCTACCGGCATGTTCTCACTCCTTCCTTCCTCCGCTGGTTTTTTTTTAAGCTGCTTCCTAACCCAGAACATTATTCCCATCTCTTTTCCCCTGATGAAATTCAAGTCTTGGCCTGGCTACCACTTCCTCCAGGAAGACTTTTGTGATTACTGTCATGGTGAGCCCAGCCTGCGTTTGCTGACACTGCTCCTTCGAGCTTCCTGGGGCCCTTCTCAGAGTGACTGGCTTCGTGTGGCCATTTCCTGAGTTGCCCTGGACTTGGGGAGCACAAGCCTTGGTGGACACACTCGCCATTCTCTCCCATGTGTGCAGCTAAGGGTATGGGGTGTGACAGCCCCCCAATTTCAAATTAGACATACTGATGAATTGAGGGGGTAAGGGCCACTGAGTGAGAGCATCAAATCCTAAACGGCAGTCCAGGACAGGGGTGGGTCAGTGACGAGAAAGGGCCAATCCATAGAAAAATTAAGAAGATACAATGAATTTCCCATGAATTACATGTACTCAGTTTATGAGGCTCCCCCTTTGGGGTGGGGTGATATCTGTATGAAGGGAGAGGAAATCATTACTGTTGTTATGGTTACTTGTGCATTTCTATAGCTTTGTCTATCTGGTCCTCCTTTTTCTTCCTGGCTCCATCATTTCAAATCTTCTCCTTTTGAGCCTCCATTTGTGTTTGTCTGTTTCTTCCAGAAATAAGCAGCCACTGCCATATCTGATGCGCCTCTAGGTCAACCCTAGCTCCAAACATGTTCTGCCTGCACACAGCTCAGACGCTCGGAGGAGAGCTGTTTCTCCGCAATTAGGTACTGTAGGGCCCGGCATGCATGTAATCTCCCTGGTGGGGTGTTTCGGGTGAGACTGGTCTGGTACGAACCCCAGCTTGGCTGTGTAGGGGCTGTTTAGGGGCTGTGTAGCCTTGGGCAAGTCCCTAGGTTCGTTTGGCCCATGAGCCCAGAGAGGTGAATGGCACAGACAGACACACTACACTTTCTGGCTTGAACGTGCTATAATGGACATAAATGATTTGTGCTTTATATTGTACTGCGGAGAGAACAACAATGCTTATTGCAATGTTTTCATATCTAGGCACAGAAGACACATTAAGAAACCTACATGGGTCACTCTGTTGTTGTTTTTAACCTAGAGAAAGGCTGGTTGGCAAATGCCATTATAATTCTGACGCGGAGCATTTCAGGCACTATTTGGTTTGAAATAGAGATCATGTTCACAAAACACACACAAACAAATAAGAAGCAATGGGGGAGCTTTGTGTGTCCAGCTAAGTGTTTGTGAATGGCAGTGAGAGGTTCTTGCCCATTGTCTCTGCTTGGCACCCTGTTGGCATCCTTTTGACACCAAGCCCCAAAGTCACTGGCAAATCGGGTCAGAATTAACTCTTTCTTCCATGTTCCTCTGAATGTTGCTTATAAATATATCCATGTCCTTCTCTTCTTTCTCCTTTATAATTAGGGGTTACCTCCCTCCTCCCCAGCCGCTTCCATTCTAGCCAGAAGTACACACACACTTTGCTCAACGGCAAGGCTACTTTTCAACAAACGATCTTAAAAGCTTCTCGTTTCTAGAGCAGTTCACATCTCTCAGGTTGGGAGGTCTCCTAAGGAACTTTTACTTTTAAAAAACCACTCAGCTTGAAAAGTGAGAGTTTCTGCAAATGCTACTTTGCACATTTCTGTAGCCCTTCAAATGAGATTGAAAAGTTGTCTCCAGATTCCAAGTCCTTAGTCAAAAAAATGGTTACAAAATCCATAGATTAAGCAACCCCTGGCTTAAAGGTTTACTTTCAAGCCACCCCAAATTTGTCTCATACTTATTTTTTTTTTAATAACAAATACATCGGGCCCTCCCTGGTGGTGCAGCGGGTTGGAGTGCTGCATTGTGAAGCTAAGCCAAGTGTGGCTGCTTCAGCGCAAGTTCGATTCCTGGCCTGGAGGTGACCCACATGGCGCAGCAGACCTCTCCTGACCTGCCCGTTGCTCCCCTCAGCAATGTACTTCATCCATCTGCCTGTTCTGCTCCCCGCTCTGTCTCTGCTGGGGTCGCCACCCCTGCACCTCTGGCTGTACCCCATTTCTGTATGCATACATAAATAAATCTTAAAAAAATAACAACTACATCAATAAAAATTACCTCTTTGCAATTATTTAAGAAGTCAAACTTCTTCTGTAGTATTTTTCTTATAGCATCTAGAAGGGAAACCACAAAACAATAGCAAGATTAGTTTTTCAGTAAAAACACAAGATGCATTTCAAAAAAGCAAGGCCTGTATATACTCACCAATTATTATACCTCTAAGAACATTAATGTAATTCTATTCCTATTTTTTTTAAATATATGTATATTTTACATCATTCTTCATTTTGTGCATTTTTTCATCTCGGCTGTCATGCCTGTAGACGTCCCACCACCGTGTCACCTGTATGCCATCTCCATAGTCCCATGTGCTTCTCTCACCCCGGTTTTGATTCTACTCCCTTCTCTTCCCCTGTAGAATGTCTCTGGTTTATAGTTGTTGATTTTAGTTTTTACTTTATTACAATTACTATTTTTGTCCTTCTGATCCCTTACACCTTTGCTATGAGTGAAACCATCCAGTATATTTCTTTTTCTTTCTGGCTTAATTCACTAAGCATGACCCCTTCCAGCTCTCTATTCCTTTTTTCTTAATGTGGACAAATACCTGGATGAACGAGGCTCTGACCAGAACTGAAGAATAGGTGACAAATATTTTTTTTTTTAAGATTTATTTATTTCTGCATACAGAACTGGATACAGGCCAGAGGTGCAGGGGCGGTGAGAGGATTCACCAGAGACAGAGTGGAGAGCAGGACAGGCAGATCGACGAAGTACACTGCTGAGGGGAGCAGCGGGCAGGTCGGGAGAGGTCCGCCACGCCATGTGGACCACCTGGGGCAGGCGGGGATCGAACTCATGCTGAAGTGGCTTGAGCTTCTTAGTGCTGTGCTTTAACTCTCTGCACCAACAGGGAAGGCCCAACAAATATTTTTGACTTACTACTCTGGCAGTGGCAGAATGGATACATTGCCACTTTGAAGAGTTTTTGAGTTTTCACAGTATGCCTTAATGTTTACAGCAATCCACACACCACCTCGTTAGTCACCAGATAAAATTTTACATTAAAGTTGCTCCTTCTTAATTTTGGAACCACAGAACAACTGATTCTTTAATCATTTCACATTTACATAGTATTTTATAAATGACTCTTACTAACTAATATAATTTGGGCACAAAGGGTTAAAGCGCAGCACTGTGAAGCTATCGGCAATCACTGCAGCACAAGTTCGATCCCCGGCCAGGGAGCTGACGGACAGGGCGCAGCAGACCTTAGCCAAGGAAGTCTCCCAGACATTTTCTGTGTCTTCTACCTAGAGCTTATCCTACCAGCTTAGGCCAGATGAAGATTGACTGAGTTTTCAGGAGAGGTTTCATCCACTTAACAAGCAAGCTGACCGGGACTTGGGGAGCAAGATGGGTTGGCACGAATATAAACTGCAATGTGCAAAGACATCTTCATTCAAAGGTGGGGGTTTCTGTATTCATAGACGAGAATGCAGAAGAGGATACTTGGATCCAGAAAACTTGCCACAAAATGCAATGCAGTACAACACTGCTACCACTCCCTCCTTGCCTGCTCTTCTCACACCGGTCTCCAAAGCTCGGTGGTCGCCAGCAAGCCTGAGAACAGGTCTTTGTAAAGCGTCCCTGTGAAGTGAACTTTCTAATCTGAAAAGTGCATGTGTCTAGCTGGTCTAAATGATGAGTTCAAGTATTTGCTGGCAAAATACTTATAGAAAACACTCTCAGGCAAATGGTGTACTGGCAAATGCCTCAGGTAGGGTTAAGACAGAGCTGGCTAAGACCTTGGTACTACCCCCAGCGTAGCGCCCAGGGAAGAGCTGGTAGGATTTGCTGCAGGCCAGAAGAGCGTCTCCGCCAACTTCATTTAACTTCAAGTTAGTGAAAACAGAAACCCTCTGTGGAGGGTCTGTGGCCCTGACACTTCCTGCAGACGCCCATCTGGGGGAGGGTCTCAGATTACCACGTTGACTCTGATCTTCCTTCTCTGGTCTAGATTCACTGGGGATAATTTTTTTGCCTTAAAAGTCCTGATTCAGATTTCCAAAGTGAAAGCTGTTTCTGCCTTTGACAGAAAAATAGCTCGTGCGTGGAAACAAAGCCAGACATTTCTTGTCATTTGGAACGGTGGTCTCAGTGGACGTTTCATCAAGAAAAAAATGTTTAAGGAACCAACGCCTTGCTTGAAATGACGAAACCTACGTTCAATCAGCATCACAGCTGTGATCCTTTCTGACAGCTGATCGGGCATTTGAAAACGAAGATGCTGCAAATCACGCCTCAGAAAGTTTCTCTTCACTGGACACAGGCTGTGGTCCTTTTTCTAAGTGTGAGTCTTCTGGTTAGGATGAAGGTGAGCGCAGGTTGCGTCTCTGTCAGTTCCAGGTGTGCCATCACAAGCTTAGGGAGGTTAAGGCCTTCAGAGTCATGCCAGCTGCACCTTGAGCGGCTGCTCTGGAGACAGCGCCCAGTGACGAGAGGTTCTGCCCAAGATACAGCTTCGCTGCTGTGTCAGTGACTGGAAGCAGAGAGGGCTGAGCTGCTCTGCTAAATGGACACCCTCCCAGGGCATCTTCCGTGGGTCTGAGATTGTTCAAACGTTTAGGAGAGGAAAGGCCCCGACATCTCTTCCTCCCCTTGCTCAGTGAACACTTTCCCTCTTCTAAATTCTCCTTCCATCCCTGTTAGCCAGCCAACCTCATCCCGTCCATTAAGTCACAATGTTTTCTGGTTTCTTCCTTCTTTGTTAGGATTCAAGGGAAGAAAAATAATAATTGGGAAAATGTGGATATTATTCTTAGAGAGTTAATTGTAAAAAATCAGAATTCTTATTCATTTCGGTAGGTTGATGATGATCAGAAATATCCATTTCTTGAGAAATACACATCAAGGGGGAAGGTGAACTGAGGTTGCTAGTGTTTAAGTGCTCTGGAAAAGGGAAATGGGGGGATGGGAGGAAGAAAAGAGGTAGACGAAGCAAATATGACCAAACCAGGTAACTTCTCATCTGGACGCGCAGAATCACTGTTTACTTTTTTCCATTTGGGGCAGGTGTGAAAAATTTCATTGTGACTTAGAGTAAATCTCACTGTTCTCAAATTCCATCATCCCACTCATCACATCTAACCCACTTTGAAACAAGTCATCCACTAGTCATTTCTGTGGCCTCTCTTGTATCCCGTTCATCTTCTGCACAGTGCTGCTGCCTGGCCTTTGACATGGCTTCGCTAATTTTCTTTCAGGCTTTCCCTAACATGATTCTATCCTTCCGGTTAAAATCAGAGAGCAAAGGCTGGAGGCCTCTTGGTTTGCCCAGAGAGTTCCAGTTCACAGCTGTTATACTGGCCTAATCCTCACCGTGCTCCCCTCTGCTCTTAAAATAGCCTCATTTAGGCAAATTAAATTATGGCTCCAAATCATCTGATCCTGAGTTCACAATGTGGACATGATATCTGCGACTCTAGAAAACTCTGGGCCTCAGGTTTTTTTTCTGTAAAAAGGAGGCAATAATACCTATCACTAGGCAGGCTCAGCACATATTAAATAATCTTCTCTTCCAGAGAAGAGCTGTCCAATCCAGCCAGACCAACCCCCCATCCCAAAAAGGAATATGTCTTGTTCACTCATGACCTCTCTGAAGGCTGTTGATATTATTCCTCCTTCCATTAAAAGTCCTTGTTCTGTCCTTCCAGATTACACCTTGAAGTCTTCAGCTGATTTTTCCCCCTTGGCTAATTGTGATACCAACGTGGTGTTTGTTCTGCACGAGCATATTTCATCACGCCAACTAAAGAACCATTCATTCCTGCAAGTAGGAAATGTTCCCTCTCTAATCCCTAAGCCAAGCTACGCACCTGAGCCAGATAGGCAAGAAACTCACATGCTCGAAACCAAACACCCTCCAAAGCTAACCTTCTTCTAGGCAAGTATCCCTTCCTGGGAAAGAAATTAGGAATACCTACAGAAATACTTTAATTCAGATTTCTTTTAAGACGTTGCCTCAAGTCTGTCACCTCAGCTTCTTTATTGAGACCCAAAGGGGATGGGTTGAGAATTCAAAGACTTCTTACAAACTAAAACACAGCGCTGGGTCACCACTGTGGGGCACGTTAAACCCAGCCACCCCAGTAAACATCAGACACCATCAGATTTCCCTACAGCGCTGAGTCCTCAGTTCAGTCTGCCTTTTTAAGGTGCAACCCACTTTTTAAAGACTCACTTACTGCAGCAAAAAATCATTATGAGGGTCCTCCCTGGTGGCGCAGCAGGTTAAAGCACAGCACAAAGAAGCTGCAACCACTTCAGCATGAGTTCGATCCCCGCCTGCCCTGGAGGTCACCACATGGCGCAGCAGACCTCTCTTGACCCGCCCGCTACTCCCCTCAGCAGTGTACTTCGTCCATCTGCCTATTCTGCTCCCCACTCTGTCTCTGGTGAATCCTCTCACCACCCCTGCATCTCTGGCCTGTACCACAGTTCTGTATGCATAAATATATAAATCTTTTTAAAAATCATTATAATTAAAATCCCCCCAGCACAGTCACCTCTATGCAATCTGAACCCAGGAGACTGGAGTAAATGGATGGAAAGCAGACACCTGACTACTTTTCTGTGATTCCTCCAGGCTGTATGTGCATGCTTACATCTGCATGAGGACAATGTAACTTTAGCCCTACAAAAATAATACCAACAACAAGGCATTTGTCCAGGGGAAGAAATGTGAAAATTGACCGGATGTAAACAGAGGCTATCTTTGGGCAGCGAATGGGCCCTTCTTGATTGTTTCCATGTTATTTTGTGGGAGTCTATAGCTCTCCTAACAGGACAATACATGTGTATGTGTCTGCTCTGTGTGCACAAATGGCCTTGTAAGAGTGACTGAACTGTGAGCTCAATAGTCAACAAGAGCATTTATTCACCAAAGTGCCCTCATTCTCCAAGCCCCA